GAGAGAGTGACTTCCTCGTTCTCTGTTGAGCTGTGTTGCCGTGTCCCACATCAACTAGGTCGACCAGAAACAGGTGAGCCAGGAACCTTTGTTTAAACATAAACTCCTGCACATTGAACTTATGCCAAATTGAAGTTGATGTGTGGAACTGCCCACTCTCGACGTTTTAAATTGGATCCAAAACAGTAAGGATAATAAAACACTTTTTTTTGTGTTTGAAGGATGTGATTTTTGATTTGATTTGATTTGATTTATTCTTTCAAACAAGTAGAAACAAATGATATCAACACACAAATGTGCTGGTTTGTTCCCTGAAACATGTAACAGTTGACAAAGCACATAGTCTCATTTCAGGGGAAGTAAATGAGTGCCCTTGATCACAGAATTTGATACCAATAAGGGACGTAAAATTCACATTTTATAAGTGGATTTCTGCTACGTAGTAGCAGTTGTCTCCTCAAATTTCCCATACCCTTTTTAATTTCCCCCCAGCTGGAGATCAGGCAGTGAGTCATCTTGCCTGAACTAGATTATCTTGGATACATTGCACATGTGATAACAGGCACAGGGAAAGCTTGCTGTTCACATGAAATGTGGGGTGGTTATCTGCACAACAGGCCATTAAAACGTTTTTTCATAAGCGTATCACACCTGGACAATAGGTCCGGAGGTGTGAATTCGTAGTTAACGTGCCTTGTGCAGCAGGTGATTTGCTTAAATCTTACCATTTGGTGGAGAAAATAGGTCAGTGGGAAAATTGTACCAGATTAGGGGGCGGCTGTGGCTCAGTAGGTAGAGCAGGTCGTTTCCTAACCGGAGGATTAGCAGTTCGGTTCCCGGCTTGTCCAGTCAACATGTCGAGGTGTCCTTGAACAAGACACTGAACCCCCAGTTGCTCCTGGTGATGACACCGGTGTGTGAATGCGTGAGTGCTTGGGAGTGCGAATGGGTGAATGGCCGAATAATGTGAAAGCGCTTTGAGTGTGCTGTAAAAGCATAGAAAGGCGCTATACAAGTATAAGACCATTTACCATTTGGGTGACCGACTGTCCTGTTGAGATAAAACGGTGAAATTGATTGGAAATTAACCCCCAGAAATTGCGCGCAGCAGGGGTTAGCCTGCTGTATAAAAGTCTCGCTTTTTGATCAGTTTCCACCGGGCCAAGAGCCTCTCATTAACGGACAGCGTCACGTGTGGCATATTTTTTCATCATGTCTGATTGTGATATTATTCGGGTTTCGAAGAATTGCAAAACTGGCACAATTGGTGCTATTTTATATGAACTGTTGAACAAATGGCTTGCCACATTGAATTCTAATGAATATTGTAGTGAAACAAAGAAATTTACTCTGATCCCATATTTCTCTAACTTATCCATTAATAGTTCATGATTAATTGTATCAAATGCTTTTTTTAGGTCAATAAATATCCCCATCCCCACCTTGGTGCCTTAATAAGGTGGTTGTGTTATTTATGTAACATCCTAATAAAACACTTTTTTTTGTGTTTGAAGGATGTGATTTTTGATTTGATTTGATTTGATTTATTCTTTCAAACAAGTAGAAACAAATGATATCAACACACAAATGTGCTGGTTTGTTCCCTGAAACATGTAACAGTTGACAAAGCACATAGTCTCATTTCAGGGGAAGTAAATGAGTGCCCTTGATCACAGAATTTGATACCAATAAGGGACGTAAAATTCACATTTTATAAGTGGATTTCTGCTACGTAGTAGCAGTTGTCTCCTCAAATTTCCCATACCCTTTTTAATTTCCCCCCAGCTGGAGATCAGGCAGTGAGTCATCTTGCCTGAACTAGATTATCTTGGATACATTGCACATGTGATAACAGGCACAGGGAAAGCTTGCTGTTCACATGAAATGTGGGGTGGTTATCTGCACAACAGGCCATTAAAACGTTTTTTCATAAGCGTATCACACCTGGACAATAGGTCCGGAGGTGTGAATTCGTAGTTAACGTGCCTTGTGCAGCAGGTGATTTGCTTAAATCTTACCATTTGGTGGAGAAAATAGGTCAGTGGGAAAATTGTACCAGATTAGGGGGCGGCTGTGGCTCAGTAGGTAGAGCAGGTCGTTTCCTAACCGGAGGATTAGCAGTTCGGTTCCCGGCTTGTCCAGTTAACATGTCGAGGTGTCCTTGAACAAGACACTGAACCCCCAGTTGCTCCTGGTGATGACACCGGTGTGTGAATGCGTGAGTGCTTGGGAGTGCGAATGGGTGAATGGCCGAATAATGTGAAAGCGCTTTGAGTGTGCTGTAAAAGCATAGAAAGGCGCTATACAAGTATAAGACCATTTACCATTAGTTAAGTGTTTGTTAGTTGACATCATCAAGGTTTTCCTATTTGCTCTCTCTCTCTCTGTGGGGGTGTGTGTGTTTGTGTGTGGTGGCGGCCTGTGTTATCAGTAGGATCAGATTGGATCGGCCTGAAAATGGCATTTCTGCCATTACTCCGATGGTGATGGCTCAATACTGTATCTTTCTAGTGCTGAGATGGGGTGTGTGGATGTGTGGATGTGTGGGTGGGTGTGTGTCTGTACACTACTAACTCTATAATTCAGTAAGTGTACATCTGTTTTGATAACACAACTTTTCTTTAGTATTTTGTAGTAGCTGGCCTGTCTGTGAAAGTTTTATTGTTGTGTGTGTGTGTGTGTGTACATGCATATTGAGTATCAGTGTCATATCTACATTTTTAAATTCTCACAATATAATTCACAA